AAACTGTTTTTGTCTACAAAAAATATATAATTTTAAAAGTAAACATTTATTCGATAAGAAATACAAGTTTTTTGCAAAAACGTAATTTGATTCAAAACTAATTTTGAACACTCGAATCGACCGTTAACATATATACATAAATACATACATAACATTATCGACTTTTATTAATGAAAATATTATTTAATACCTATATGGTATAGTTACATGATTTTAAAGTTTTTTTTTTTTTTGTTCTTGTTAATTTATTTTACGATTGTAATTTTAAATGTTACCATTTCATCTTACTATATTTTAATTTTTTTATACTCAATAGGAATTCGGTAATAAAATTGAAATATTCAAAACCACTTTTATATCTTAATAGTATTAAAAATCTGAATAGTTTTAAACATACGACGCTGTATTATTCAACTTACATTTTTATATTGAGTTAATTTAATTAACGTTTTTATTTTATTTCTTTTATTTGCAGAAATTATTTATAATATGGAGTAACTTAAAACATATAAATCTGATTTTTATTTTACTGAATTGATAATAATGAATAATTAATACTAAAATATGGGTATGAGGAAAAAAGTAGCTTAACGTATTATATTTGAAATATTTTGCGTGCTATAAAATATATCATTAGGTATATAACATTTACATTCGTGTATTTAAATAATATTTTTTATAAATATTTTGACTTTTCATTTTAATTATATTTTTTGACGATAACTTTGATCGAACTTTGCGGTAAAAATTCAAATTAAGAGGTCAATATTTCCAAACTAACCAATGTTTAACTTGTGAAAAAAAAGTTTCTTGGTTTCAAACAAAAAAAGGGTTGCGTGGTAATTAAAACTTAAAATTATGACTTTAATTAACAGTGAAATACACCTTATACCTGTATAAAAATTTGACAATATATTATATGTATGGAAAAAACAAGCTTTTTCGTTAAATATATTTCATTACAGTTAAATGTTGGATTTATTCATATTCACCTGGGATCTTGGACGTATATTCTTATCACCCTTGCGAGCTATACTAACTTGGAGTATGGATACTCCAGGATTGATATATGCGATTTCATAATTATGTACATATGCCAAGAGCGTTAATGGAAAACTTGTCAACGAAATTATAAGTAAAATAAAATCTAATACTATATTTTCTTTGACCCTCATACAACTGCATAAGTACTTTGAATGACGAAGCTGGTATAATTAATATGATAATATATATTGTTTCATCATTTCACAATAAAACACAATTTTAACATATTTGATAAAATAATATACCAACAATTATAAAAGGACAAATGATTTGGTTATTTATTTCGGGCAGTTAGGTTGTGGTAATTAAACAATTTATAACACAAATAAATAACTTACACAATACTAATTGTTACGGATTTTTTTTTCATCGCGAAAAACAATATTTGACTTGATTAAAATTAAAAGAAAAAAAATCGTCATTTGAATATCAGCCGTTTTTGGTATGTATATTGATGTATTGCATAATAGTTAAACGGATTGTTTTACTGTACAAATCGTTCATATATAAACTCTACTTATTATCCCTGCAAATGGTTAATAAATTATTCATTTAACGTTTTGTAGAATTAACTTTGCATTTTACTGAACATGTGTCAAACATTTATATCAAAATCTCACGGTGAATTTGAATAAATTTAATTTCCAAGTACTTAAAATATACACACAATTAAAATTGACACGTTTTGAATAATTATACATTGATCTGAACCGTAATTTATTTTCTTATCATTATTTTTGGTGAGAACTAATACATTTCCAACGTATTATACACTGTATATTGATCGTGGATTTAGTTTGAAACGGAAACACAGTAAGACACTCCCAAAGCGTACAGCCGACGTGATGGAACTTTTGAACTTCCACGCACTGTTTAGAAGCGTACTGCAGTGTGGACGGTGTATAAAAATAAAACATCAAAAAGGTTTTTTCGGACAAGACGGCGGAAGGCTCGCACAAATGCATAATATACTTTTAAACATATCCCAAAATGTAGCTATATCCGGTTGAACACACACGTAAATCACACAACTTATTAGTAGCGAAGATAATATTTGTCACGTACGCTCGACCGTACCACGTGCCACCGTGCCGTGTAAGCTCAACGCAAACGACACTCAACGAATCAGATACACTACTACTAGTTGTTCCTGCATTATAATGATTTATCGTTTCAGCACGATTCGCCGATGAATATTATTAATAATAGAATCGAGATCCGTACCGAGTTAACAATAATAATAGTAGCTCTAGTGTACACGTGGCTGGCGAACTCGAGTCGCTGGTTCAAGTTTTGAGAGTCCACCCTTGTAGTGCGTGCATATCTCGTCGTCGTTTTTGCGGCGTACGGCTCACTAATACGATCGGTCGAGAGTGTATTATAATGCATCATACGCGGCTAGTCTACCGTGCATTATGATAACCTTACAGCCGCAATCGCACCCCGATTTCTGTGATTATGTGTTTACGGGAGAAATTGTTTACAGTTGTCGAAAATCTCCGAGACACAACTTTAGCTGATACTTTAATATGCCTACTTGTGCACGGGACGTACTTCTATCATTTTTTTTTTTTTTTTTTTTTTCATACAAACAGGATCGATTGAGTTGAGAAAGGGAATGTTTGTTTATCGCTCAATACCTAATGGCTGTACCCGGCAGAGCCACTGCATCTAATTATACGAACACGACGACGGCTGAAGGGATTACTCACTCTTAATATGTATTATTTATGCCGTCGCGAACGTAGACATTATATATGTATACATAACACTGCGCGTGAGGGTGAATGATACGGCGCACTATTGCTTGTACACTGTATACATATGCGCTCACACAGTCACGTCGGGAGACTGACAGGAAACGCTGCATAATATAATACATCGTACAGTACACGTACGCGATACCGAATGTTTAACGCGAACGACCATCAGTATAGCGACTTTTCCGACGGTTTAAAGCCTAGAAAATGGGAAACTCGTCATTTAACCCTGCGATGTATGTCGAGTGCGTGCGTACAGCTCCGCTTTATACACTGCACCGGTACATCAGCGACAGGGAGGGAACGAAGGGCCCTGCGTAAGATTATAACAATCCCTTAAGGGCAGCAAAGAGATTATATATATTACATAAGCTCGAGACAGCGGAGAGAGCGTCGGGAAGAGACGGCGCGCGAGGGGATGATCGACGGGCGACTCGTGTGTAATACGAACACACCACGTGCTCGCCGGACAGCAACTAATGAGACCAACGTTTCGGCTCTTTAAAACTTAACCCTTTCTGCTACTATATATATACATGAGTATTACACCGGACATTCTAACCCGTTCCCGACTGCGGCCATCCGTACGGTAGTTTCCTCTCATCTCAAACGCGCATTCATCTAGACCCCTTTCACTCGACCCCCACGCATCCCAGTCACAAGTGTGTGTATGTGTGTTGGCGACTATGACTTTTAATTAAACGAGCACAACAAACGCGGACCGAGTTCAAACGAGTTTTCGGACGCGAGCCTTATATTTCGCGGTACGACGGTTTCTTGCAGGTACAAAATGTGAAATGTGGGTGGTGGTGCTGGGGGTGGTCATACAAAATGATTATTTTAACCTCTCTAATCCACCGCCACAGTCTGCACAATCTACAGTGCCGGACGAGGCCTGGGCACAACTGCCAACTATTTGAAGCGTCTTCAAAAAATATTAACATAATAGATCTTATATATTTATTCAATACATGCGTCGAATAAATGAAATAATAATAGGTTAAAAATATATCAAAGTCCGATGAACAGTTTTTTAAATTATGTCAACATTTATGTACCTAATATTTTTTAAATCATTATTCGATCTTTTTTTTGTGCATTGTATTGTAACCGAAATATCGTGCTATCGAGAAAATCTAAGACCTGCATCTGAGGCGGCCGAAAAAATACTCATGCTCGAGGGGCTCGGTTCATCACTTCGTGATTTCGCTCGTGTGAATCATGTTTGTTGAATTTCCAACGATGATTATTATATTCTTGTCAAACAACCACATTTATACAATTTTAGGTATTTTGTACAAACAATTTTAAGCATATAAACATACAAACATAAAACATATAAATTTAAATATAAACAAGAATTTAGATTATCAATTGATTAAATGAATATAATACAAAATATAAATATAAAACAACATAAACACGAGTTAAAATAAAATTAGGTACAACGGTAGATAACTTCCTCGTAGAGTACCCCGGACAATGTTTAAAACGGCTAAAGATCTACCACCGTGCACGCAGAAAACCTGAAGTTCACGCTAGAGGTGCACACCAGAATTTCTACAACCCCGAACAATCAACATCCAACGATGATAAACGTTCGACATTAGACGTACACGGTATTCAACCGTAAAATATCGTGTATGCAAAAAAAAAAAAAAAAAAATTATGCACGTTGAAACAGGCATTTGTCTTCTAGTCGCGTTCGTTGACGGACACATTTCGGTGCTTAGTGTTTTGTTCCCACTCGTATAGGTGTAGCACAGAATCACGAAAGGCGCACGCGGTATAGCAGCTCTTTAATAGTTGTTCAAGTTTTATTGTTTATTTACACGACTGCAGTCGTACTTGCAACTATTTATTATATTATACACGCGGTACCGAGCAGTGTAGTAGTTACAAAGATTTTACACCTCGAAGACGGTATTCAACTGCCGCTTTAAATTATCGTTGCGGTGAATTTATTGCACTAATCTATATCATTTATAACATAAGTACAGCGTCGTGTTCGTACAATGAGAACGAAGGACGGCTTGGCCTTCCAAGAGAACGTAATGTTTTGTCGAACACGCGCGGACAAAATATAATTGTGTCGACGAATACATAATATCACGTATTACATACATAAATATTAAGTCAAAAAAAAAAAAAAAAAATCCATCGAATACGTGATTTATTTCATTTTTATTTTTACAGGAACGGAAAAACACTGCGAGGCCAGTCACCGGAAACCTTCGTCGATTTCCTCTGACGTTCAAACGAAAGCAAATATCTACCGACACTACCCCGTACGAATCCCGGACGCGTGCACATATTATTTCTTCTTACTTTGATTGGTCGCCAAACACGAGCGTCGATCGTATTTCAAGCCGCGTACCATCGTTTACGCCGAGAACAAATTGCATATGCATTGTACAACGGCGCACGTGTGCAAGTGATTCCACAACGATTTCACACGTTGGCAACAAAACCCCAGTTCTACACGAGTTCGTCAACGTATACACGAGTATGTATAAACGTGCGCGCGTGTGCGAAGTATCGACTTACACGTTGCACTCGACGTACTCATATACTCGGCAATCATGCGAGAGGTGAAAATTGGATTTGCAACGCGATTAAACGGCCGAGGGTTGTGCCGCCGCCAAACTTACCCCGTTTGATTCAAGGGAGTACACGTATACACGTACGTATGTACCTATATACTCGTATGCAATGTACATATATCTACGTGGACCGATAACGGTTAAAACACGCCGTGCACGCGTGACAATATTTACACGTGCGTGTACGTATATGGTTTGAGGGGTTGCGTTAACGGCGACGAGACGCGTTCGTATAAGGTTTTTTTTCTTATACCTCTCCCCACCGTTGGCTTTATTACACGATACGGGTAAAAAATTCATATTTTGTGTACGCACCAGCATACGCGTCGGTACCTATAACGAATTTTAATACATATTTATTGAGTCGTACACTTGTTTGTATATATATATGAGTGTGTGCTTTAAGCACAAGTCGAAATCGTGTAGATGTTTCTTATTCCGTTTTTATTCCGCCGTACAGCCGCGCGTCAGAGGCGCTGCAGGCAATGCAAACATTTGCAAAAAGTTCGAGACTAAAATGTGTACATAAATAAAGTGCGACATGTGTTTGTAAAGGAAAGAAAAAAAAAACTATCGAGACAATGCATCGTTTCGCCTTCTCTGTTTCCGCAGTCATTCTTCTCTTTCTTTTCGTAAGTTTTAACAGATTTTTTTAATTTTTTAAATATGTCGGTTATATTATACGAGTCATGTTCTGTCTCTCAAAATCAACTCAAAATATACGCTGAAGAAATCAACAAAATATCGTCACGTTAGAAAGCCTAAGAACCATTAACAAAAACAATTAACCTTTATAACTGGTAAGGATGATTTGGTAAATTGTGATCAAAAGATAGTCATCGTCATACAGTTGAATTTCTGACATCTCAACGAAAAAAAAAAAAAAAACCAATAAGAATTATTATGATTAGAGCTGTAATTGTTTTTTTTTTTTTTTTTTACGCCGTGCAGATTTGAATTTACGCTACGTAATATAATATTTGAGGCAAATTATTTTTATATAGAAAGAAACAGACGATCTGCAGTCCTCCCCTTTCCGTGTCATTCCTTGTATACGGTTCTAGGCGCGCGCGCGTGTGTGTATGGATTAATTATACAATCGGTTATGCACCGGGCCTTAAATCACGCGTACCAGATATGCCAGTCATTTTTGGACGAGTAGATTTATCCGATGGTCCGTCGTATCGTCGGCATGTGACACAGTAAATGTAAAATATGTTCACGGGTGTGCACCGCGGGAGTGTACACTGTCCCGGTGATTGGAAAGTTACCAAAAAATGTCCGTAAAATTTAGAAAAAAACGACGAAACAATTGACATGAGTTATGATAACGGCTCGGTGCGCGGGAATTTAATTTACATAAGATTCTAATCGTACGGATCGGACAAATTTTCGACTTGAAGCAGCGGCGCGTGGAGCCGGATCGAAACGGCTATATTATAATAATTCGGTGGACGTCGATCACAAGAGTCACGGATATAAAGTTCAGCGGCTTATTGGACGAAAAATCACTTATTACGTATCCACGTAAAAATTGATATGGAAATTCGGTTATTAGACTCAAATTTTGTCAAAAAATAAAAGTTAAAAAAAATTAAGAAATCGTAAAAGCTGTTGGTCAAATTCCGAAAAGAATTAATTTTGAAAAGTAATTATAGTGATGTAAAGTTAGTCTAGCTGCGATTTTCACGTCTTACTGCATTCCATGTTTATCGCAATTATTGTTATCGTAGCATAAGGTTTTAGCCCTCTGATTTGTTTAATGCCGATTAAACTGGCCTGTACTTTATAGATCATTACCTCCACTTCCCCTTCCTTAAAGGGGAACAACTTAAAGGGCGATTCTTTTAAACGGCGTCCACCGCTTTATATTGTTCTCGCCGTTCGCGACCCTGCACAGCGTCATGTTGACGAGGTGTGTGCGCTCGGACGTGTATCGCATTAGGTAAACATACACGAGCGGATTTTATAACGGATTTGGTCTCTGACGGATTAAATCCTCTAAAAAGTCCTATCGTGTGTGGTGTTCTAAGGATTCAATCCGGCAGATTTAAAATCCAACGGATTTAGTCCAACGGTTCAAGTCTCTCGCTTTGCCACAGACTAAAAGACCAGGTCCGGCGGACCACGGACCTTGATAAGAAATTTTTGTTTTATTGATAACTGTTGTAGTCCGTCGCATAAATCCGCAGATCTTTCAGAACGTCTTGAAAGACCAAAGGACTAGGTCCTCAGCATAAAAATCAACGGATTTCCTCCACTAACCAACGGACATGGTCCAATGGTGAATTCGCTCCGCGAAAAATAGCGGACTTTTATTTTCACGTTAGTGGACACGTTAAAGGACCTAGTCCGACGGACCAAATCTTTCAAGGACCTAAGGATTTAGTCCGTCAGACCAAATCCGTTATAAAATCCGCTCGTGTATGTCTACCTATTACCGCTTTGTCTTATTAGCATCGTTATTACAACCGTTTACCGATATGATTATATGTTATTGTAATATTATTGTGCACGCGCGTCACAGCCGTTACTCCCAGCGGTATCTGGCGGAGCCCTCGCCGCGTGCGTTACCGTCGTCTATTTTCCCGTTAGATCTCGCCTAACCGTTTCTAGAAATACCGGGAGGACGCGGCCCGCACGTGGCCGTAAACGTCGTGCAAATATTATATTTCTACCGACAACGATCTAACATTACCGTCGAGCTCGACGCGCGATCGTGTCCGAGTGCAAGCGGACAACATTGTCGCACGTTCACCACGATATCAGTGTCATTGTTGTTATTAAAAAGAGGGTGCGACGACGGTTTTCCAAAGGGTCCGGGCGCGCTAAGGGATCCGACGAGCAATCCGACGAGCACCAAAAACAATGTCTACTAACGATACGTTCGCGGCGTCTCATGGTTTAGCCATTATGAAATATAATACTTATATTAATTTTTAGGTGTTGTACGCGGTAAATAAATGTATTTCGGAAAAAAATAAAATAATAATATAATAATCGATTAATTTTTCTTGCAAATGAAAAAATTTAATAAACGCGATTTTATTTATCAACACTAGTTGATTACTAATAACGATGGTCATTTTTATTGTTGGATAGTAATGTTAGAGGTGTATAAAAAAAAATAATTTTGTAGGACCCAAAATTTGAATAGCCTAGGGGCCCACAAATGTTCGATTCGGCACTGGAAGAGGCCCACCCGGCATGGGCGAGCTGCATTGTCGCACGTTTTCCACGATACCAGTGTTATTTTTGTTAATAAAAATAGGGTGCGACGACGGTTTTCCAATGGGTCCGGGCGCGCTAAGCCACGGTATCCGCGAGTAATCCGACGAGCACCAAAAACAACGTCTACTAACGATACGTTTTATGGTTTACGTTTAAACGCTCTACCGAACATGGACCAATTGCGTCTAAAACAAAATTTTTATTTTCGTGTCAGTGTACCAATTGCGCTGCTCATTTTTTAAGGTCAGTGTACCAATCGCGCTCTTTATATTTTACGGTATAATACCAATTGCGCTTGTATTCAAATTCGATATTTATTGATCAATTGATTACTGACTAAAGTGACTGGTTTTAATATATTTTATAACAGTATCGGGAATTTTATGAAAAGTTATTATTATTGGCCTTAGGTTTTATTATAGGTCATTAATTAAGTGCTCTCCTTGATTCATGGATGGTAAGTAGTGCAAAGGTAGTAAAATTCTAGAAATCTCACAATTTATTATCGCAAAAAAAAAATCGGTTAGTCACTAACTAATGTTTTCCTTAGGTAATCTAAAATTTATAGAGCGCAATTGATACATGAAAAGGTAATTTTAATTACTATTGGTAAACTGCCGCTGTACCTACTGCGGTTTCGACTGGGTCTGCACGACGAATAGTGATTTTTGTGGGGACACTTTCGCATTATAATATTTCTCGATATCATTTTTTTGTATTAAACTTTGAAAGGAATTGGTACCTTTATTGTACATTTAAAACAAATAAGATTAACTGTTTGGCAATCTACCAATACTACGACAATGTATTTTTTTCAGGAATGAAATCGCCCACGGACTTGATATTGTAACGCATATCGAATTGTAATAAAAATTATTTTACTTATTATTATTTTTAATAATTTAAAATGTTATTTTTAAATCTTTAATTATTTTACTTTATTTTACTTTTTGATTTTCAGATAACTCGGATGGCGATGATTACTATTAACAGCGAATGGAGTTCAGAATGATTGCAAGAATATATTATATAATCATCTGTGAAATATTATTATTGCAAAAATTGCCTTGAACGATATAATTTTTAGTTTTTTTCGCTAGAAAGAATATAAATGCTTTATACATTATACAATATTATTTTATTTTAACAAAACAAGCCGTGGCCTAGAATACGGTATTTGTTATAGGTATGATACGTAATAATAATTAATATTATACATGTTACCTGGTGGTTTTGATTATATAATAACAATATAATTTATAATTAACTATAATTACTGATATAAATACTAATTAAACCAACGATCCGGCAAATGTTTGACTGTTTTAGATTAGAGCAATTATTGTTTCGAAAAAAAAAAATTAGTTTGAAAAAGCACATGTTCATCGTTTATTTTTATGATATTTATTATAATTAATTTATACTATCGGTATAATATACCGAATATAACCTGAATATTATTCAGTTACATATTCCTCAATCGGTAATAATTGAAATCAACGTATTTGGCTGTACGCTGATCTGTCGGAAAGTGAATGGTATTTAAATTATTTCTATAAAGAAGATAAAATATCTTTCCGTTTTTTCTGTTGATTTTGATGCAATATATTTAATTTTCGTAACCTGTCTTCGATGTAAAATATATAGATGTTTATTTCGCCGTTTGTAAAAAAAAAAAATTATACTAAGATAACTCGTTATTTATAAATTTCAGGTAAGTCTTATCATTTCATCAATACATTTCCTTTGCATTTCTAAACCTGTTAATTAGTCAAACTAAATCAGCCCAAAATTATTTGATCCCATAGCTGAAGAGGCAAATTGTAAAATTTTAGTTTTTACGTACAGCAATTATACACCTATCAAATAATTGTAACTGTTTACTCATGGTACTACAATGTAAACATCTGTAAGTTTTTATATAAATATGTAAACATCAACAATTTAGATAACCGACTATAATGATAACTGTTATACACAGTATTTTATTATAATTAAATAATAACTTTATTTAAAATTTATTTATTTATTTAAAATCTCTCTCGAAGACATGACTATGTTTAATCTGTTCGATATACGAGATGATGATAAAATTCAATTAGTTTTATTAGAATTAACTGATTTTAAATTTAATGTTAATTATTATGACACTTATATAATAATATGTATATAAGTGACCAACTTATGATTCACAGTTTAGAAATATACAATGATATTTTTATGGATATTCTTATTATATTTAAAATAAACTGTCTCCAAACGTCGTAAGTACATATAAAATATTAACTAGAATACCACGAAAAATTTCTAAATCATACAATGTTAAATCTAAGAATTGAAATAAATCTACCAATAATTTATATTAATTTAAATTTAGGTGCTTTTCGGAAAAAATAAATAATCACATCAAGTTAATTATATTAATGATTCATTGTAAAATATTTCTTTAAAAATTAAGTTATTTGTAGAAATATTTTTATTTTTTTTTTTAATTTGAGAAATTAATAAATAAGAACTTATAATAACTTAAAAATTCGGAATAACAAAGTTTTATGCGAGCTAAAACTGAACTTTATCACATAATTATCATGCAATAATAAATATGTTATAAATAATGAAGTTTATTGGAGATCATCAAATATGAATTCAAGCGTAATAAAAACTAATGAATATGATCACTAGCGATCACAATTTTCGTTCAAAAACTTATAATTAATCACTTTTTTAATATTATTTTTGTTTGTATAATAACTATACTATTGAAAATTCTAATAATCACTGTATAATCAAAAGTAAAAACATAAAGCTATCAACAGTTAACGATTTAATCACTATTTTTGATCCATTTTCATTACCATTATATATAATTTCTTAGAAAAATAATGAATCCTATCAAATACAAGTGCTCGTATACTGTACAGTTATATTGCACCACAATCTATATTTTAAAACAACTAAAAGTTCTTCGATAAATAAACACTTATAACTGTGCACAAATAAGATCAATTTTTAGAAGTACAACATATTTTACACTTGTCTTAAACATCTAAGATAAATTAAAATGTATACTAAAATTAAAACCATTGTAGTTTTACAATTTTTTCGTAGTGGTGACCGATGAAAAAAATAAAATAAATAATAAATGTCTGTAGTACGATTATTTACGACTAAGAAAAAAAATGATTTGGTTTTTTTGAATTGAAATATAATATTTACCAGATAATTTCAATGGTAGTTCTGCAATTCTATTGGGATCCAGAGGCGTGCCGAACGGGAAAGGTCTGGGTCCAAAATGGAAAGGGTGAAATCCTTGGTTTCCTGCAAACGAGTTAAATAATAGGCCTAATACCCAATTTAATTTGGTAATTTATTTAGCATAATTTTGCATCAATTAACTCACTGGTTTTCGACCTCGGCTCTCTGGGACCGTCCACCGTGACTTTGATGGCTTTGGCATAAGTGGCCACTTGCGGTGGGCACGAGTTCAGCATTATCGTCAGCGTGAAACTTTTACCTGAAAATAACAAAACTCGTCGTGAATAATTTACTGAGCACTAAGTTTATGTTTCGTTTTTCCAACGTCTTAGGGATTAATATAGAGCTTTCCGAAAATAAAACACATTAGCACCGTTAAAATATTGTATTATAAGTATACGATGGACACAGTGGTATATTTTGATAGTGATAATTATTCGGCCTTCATAGCACATAGGATTTTTACCGTATTCAATAAACTAAAATTAATATAAAATATTTAACGGCACTTAAATGAGTTTTTCTTTTCAAAATATTCACTTTTTTTTTTTTATGTAGAGAACCATTAAGTTACAAAATATTTTTGTATACCTATGTTATACGATTTTAAAATATGACGAAAGAAACCTTTTGAATAACCATGCGAACATCATCAACGATTTAACAACATAATGATGTTCATAACGGATGATGATCGTATGAATATATTATTTTTTCGATTTTATATCGTGTATTATACAACACCAAAGATACTAAAATACTGTTTTAAACAATTTGAGGCAGTAGGGCAAAATTAAAAATGTGGGATTTTTCGCTGGTTTTTTTTTTTTTTTATTACCATATTTTATTAACCATTAATTAATTGTATACAATAAAAGTTGTATACTAAAAAAAAAAAAACAAGACAAAAAAATCAAGGCCCCTTGTAATGGAGGCCATAGGCATTATAATCTTGTATAATGGTAAATATGATTCTCCTACAATAGCATATAAAGGTAGTAAATAATTCATTTTTTTCCCGAAGATATTTAAGTACATGGTCCAAAACATACGACCAAGTGTATCATGATGTGTTGGTACAATGGAAAAAAAATGGAAAAAGTGATAAATAAAATAAAAGCAATTCAAAATCTTCGACACGAATTCTTTACGATATTAGCTATAATATAATTTGTATAGTAATACCAAAGTGTGCGAGGCGGTGTATTTGCGGGGGGGTGCCACACCGTCGACAACAGTTAACAGGTCTAAGATTTAATTATAATATATAACGATAAATTATTAAGTCATCAGTTTTATCTGTTCAACCAGTCGCACTTGAATTAATTTACACGAATTTAATATAAATATTTAAGGTGTATAAGATATGCTTCACCGTCTAAACGATAAATAAAAAATAAATCTGTTCACGTCACGTATTTTAAGTTTTAATTCAATCCCTCAACTCTATAAAAAACAAAAACATAAAAATATCCATAGTTTTCAGTAATTCTTTTATCATATTTATGAGTATTCAAAATTCATTCCAGAATCATTGAAAACCAAGTATATTCACTACAAAAGAAAAATGTCATCATAAAATTAATAATATGGATTCCTAGCCACATCAATATCATTGGCAATGAAAGAACTGACAAACTCGAAAGAGAAGCCGTTAATTCAATAAACACGATCCAATATCAAGTTTATTCTAGGTCTGATATCAAATTGATAATTAATAAATATACAGAACTTATGGTAAAATTAAAATGTTAACTGTTATTATGTAAATCAGTGGTTCTAAACCTGTTTTAAGTTGTTACCTTCTTTCAAAACGAAATATTTTTTAACGCTCCCTCAGAAGAACAAAAAATAGTATACTTGAAAAACGATAGTTAAAAATATAAAATATTATTTTACAGTAGACATTTTTCAAACAATTAGTGTATAATTAAAATAATAAATTATAATGATCTGTGGGATAGTTGTATCTGGTTATTCAATGAATTGTTATGTGTCTGGTGCTTTGAGTTAATATTTTTACCTTGGGTAAAATGAGAATTAGTCAAATCTAAAACTATACCGAAAAGATAAAAAAAAAAAATATTAAGACTGTCAAAAAAAATTATAACAATATAATAATGATACTAAGTTTGAAAACAATAATATTTTTTATAATAACAATAATTGATTATCTGTAATTATTATGTCGCGTCCACTCCTATATAACATTATTATACAACAGTGTTTTATAACATGTTATACAAATTTTATAAAAATGTGAAAAGAATTGCCTCTAGCTAAAAATCTAAAACTTATAACTACTGGTTCTTTCATAGGTATTAAATCCCTGAAGTTTGTACCTTCTTTACATAGTATATGTTCAACTAAATTAATCAAAAATTCGAAATGTGCACATGACATTCGTAAAAAAATGTTAAAACTCCCGTTGCAACGAAATTCACCGGATAAGAAGTCATCACGTCCTAAACATCTAATAGATTACTACCACTATATTTTTTTCTGTTCAGTAATGAAGAACGAATCCAACATTTTATTTATTTTTTTTATTTAAATTTAATTTATAATTTATTATTTTTTCAACTTTCGTCTAGCGTAATCAATCGATTTATGTTCATAAGCGTAATTAGGTGGGGACTAGGGAGCCTAGCATACCAAAATATTTATCTATCCTCTACATAATAGGTACAAACACAAATCAAAAAGTAAAAGTCGTCTACCAAAGTGATACAAAAAAAAAATCAGACCCATAGAAATAAATTCCTAGTTGCATCCATGTCTATGTTATCAGTTTTGTCACTTACCAAAATGGTTTGTTTACATTATGAAATGAAATGCAATTACTTATTTTATTATAAAGAAGTCGTACTTCACTATACATAGTGGCTAATATGTGATACAATATAATTTTCATTTTTTTGATTTTTTTTAAAACTATTTAGCTGTACTATATTTTAATTTGATAACCTTATGCAAATATGTAACTGTTTGAAAAAAAAATTAAATATTTTATTTTGCTTACATAAAATATGACTGCTATAAAAATTCAAAAGCAATTAAAATAAATGTAAACAAAATTATTTTTATTATTAACTTCAAACTCAATTGAAAAAAAAAATGACTAGGAGTGATAAGTATTTATGATTTTGCCAAATTGTGAATTGCTATTTTTATTATTTTTGGTTTTAAAATAACTGTGCACAACTGGATCGTGTAATCACTAAAAAACACAATACATATCACATAGCACTCACGGTTTACGTATGTGTCATCTAGGGAACAAGCAGATATAATATTTATGAATGACTTGGTTTTACTGACCTTCTTAAAGGTCAAAACGTGTAATCCTAGTCGGTTATTCCATTAATAGGTCTCATCGAAAGAAAAACATAATAAAAGCAATTATACAACGGTAAGAAATCACCAAACTGAAATCAGGAGTTCACCAAGAATACATTGAAAATCATTGGATACAGTATTGTAGAATTACCGCTATAAAGAACCAAAAGAGAAATTATTGAACTTTACACGGCGGATTATTATATATTGTTTTAAATTTACTATGTATGTGGATTCGTTCGTTTTCATTCAGGCGCGGACTGGTAAAAAAGGGCACAGGATGCTAAATAATTTTAAGGGTAAATAAAAATTTTAGGGCAAATTAAAAACATAAAGGTTATTTATAAAATATTTTCTTTTATTTTAATAAAATATTGAAAATACATTAAAAATGTAAATAGGAACTTAATAAATTACTACAAACATTCAAACAAAATTATACAATATTAGATTACAATGTTTAACAGTTGTATGGTAAAAATAAATAAAAATAAATTGATAGTCTGTTATTAAACATTCAAGTATAATATTTGATTATTTTAAAAATACCATAAATTTGATTTTAGCCATTTCAATGTATGAAGGTAGTAGATATATGACTAAATAAAAATAAAAATATATAGGTACCAGCTATCTAAGAGCAATACTCATATTAATCTCAGTAATACATTTGTATGCTCACTTTCACTTCCAGTACAATAACTATAATATTAATAAATATAATACATTCTATGACTTTTTTAATATAACGATTTGCAGATAAATTATTCGGAACGTTTTTTACTATTTTACTGATAATTACATTAATTTCGTGTTGAACGTAGCAAAATGTTTAATAATTCTGTAATTACAGAGATAAATAACTTTAACCACGTTCTTATTTTGGTACAAATTATGCAGTAGCAGTTAATAAAACTATTTTTTGTGGGTCTAGACTCTAGAGAGGGCAGTTTCCCTCCAGAAATCGAGAGGAAAAACTTATCAATTTAAATGGGTCAGTAAATCGTGATAAATTTTTGCCACTCACAATATTATGGCCAAGTGCTGCTTATGAAGAATGTGTTGATAATAATTTAATTAAGTAAATTTAATATATATAAAAAAAACGGCTCTAACTTATTTCCTTACTAGTTACCTATTTTAAATGTATGTATTCTTTGTGGTTGTTATAGTTATTATATAAAAAATAGATCTACCTTCTTTACTAGTTACCTACTTTAAATGTATTCTGTATAATTGTCATAGTTATTATATAAATAATAGATTTACCTACAACTTTATCAGAGAACTGTAATAGGTAGGTATTTGTCTTCAAAATTCACATTCATTTTAGATGGAGTAATTAAGGCATATTTATACTGATAGGGGCAAATATATTTTAGGGCAAGGGATGTTGTAGCATCCCAGCACTCCAGCCAGTCCGCGCCTGTTTTCATTTCATCATACAAGACTAACATTTTATTGGTCAGGAAACTTTATAGAATAAAAAAATAACACAAAATATTATATTATTATAACGTAAATGAAGAAATAATTTATAATACATAATTGTACTAAGGAATGCCTCTTATTAAAACTTATTAATTTCTAGCAAATGTTGTTAATACCATATTGTGTACAAGTATATTAATCGTGCTTCAGCCCGTCATGTTTATAAAATTAATAAAATAAAAAAATGAACTGTCATTATTGTGTTGGTATTAAATTTATCGCTCGACAACACGAATTATCAAACGAGCTCGTTGAAACAACGAGATAATAAACAATTAAACTTTAACCTTATCGAATCCTCCTAATGGTTCGAAGATAAATAATATCGAAACGTACTTTTTTGGAAAAAAAATCGGGATTTCAAATGTGCAAAATAACCAGATTGATCGAAAAATCGAATACATCTGATTTGTGCCCGTGAACGTCGTCATGTCGACGTTGCGCGCAGAGTTAAGTTCTACGGAAAACGAAAAACGAACTGTCGACGTCGTCTCGGAAGGGAAACCGGACGCGTATTTACGAACCGTAAACAAATTCGGCTAAACGGGTACGCACATCACCCAATGCGCACACCCGTGGCACAACTGTCAATCAGATACGTTATCACTTATCAGTTATGTTATAGTTCATAATTCACAAAATAATTAAAAATTTGACTTTGTTAACATTTTTTTTTTTTTTTCAACAATCTTTGCAAAACCAGTAAGTATTCTTCGTACTGTCAATATTCAATAATCGTAATAATAATAATAATAAGAATACGGCCGACGAATATGCAAGTACTCGAACAATTATAGTCGATCAAATGTAAAACAAAATAATACTAATGAGATTTGAGCATTTGTAGCGATGTTTTTTATACTTAAGCCCAAACATCTTTTCTTTTTTTTTTCTTTTTTTTTGCCCGACTGATGAATTTATTTCCTTGCCATGCGTACAACCATGTTTGGCCGAATTCAGTTATGGTTAAATATTCGCGCGCCAAGTGGAAAACGTCGGAAGAGCCGAAGAGATCTCAACGGAATGATGTGCGCGCGCAAGCGCGCACGTGGACGCATGGCTGCGCGAACGGCGGCGGAACACGCGGATGGCACAGGGCGAACAGAGTTTAAAAGCTCACCGCGGAATTAACGGGCAATTAACGGCCGCAGCCGCCGCTGCCGCCGGTCTCGCCGTTGTTGTTGCCGGTGAACTTAGTTTATTAAAACGGGAAGGGTTAAGTTTTTTATTTTTTTTTTTTTGTGAAAGACGATTAACGCTTTCGGGTCGACGGCGCGCACGAGACGAACGTTTCGCGGGTAGTCAAAGGCAGCTTTATCCGTCCCCCGTCGGTAAGCATCTTATTATCGGTCGGATCGAAGCCGACACTAAGCCCATTTTCGGACAATAAACTCGGCGCGCGCGTGTCAGATTTAAAACGCTTGTACATCCTTTTTTTTTTATTATTTCTTCTTTTTTTTCACCCGTCGTGCGTCCCCGCGGCCGTGTTGAGCTCCTCTTTTTTTATTTGCCCTCCGGTGTAACAGGGATTTCACAAGGGATATTCGCTTTTATACGTATACGTGTACACACACATACACCGAAAAAAAAGGGATAATGTCGAATGTTGAAAACGAAAGGAAGAAGGGAGAAAAGACACGGGCAGGGTCGTCGCAGTGGCCGCCACCGACGTCGTCGTCGTCGTCGTCGTCGTTACAATTTACTCCGCGTTGTGTAGGCCAATTTGTCATCATTGCTTGCGAGGGAAGTTTGTTCGGACGAAAAAAGATAAAAATAAAACGTCGCTAGGAGGGGTGGAAAACATGCGTCCGCTTCTGTACGTATTAAACACGCGCCCACCCTCGTAGCCCGATATTATTAAAACTCCGAAACGTTTAAGTCCCGACACCGGCGGCGGTGGCGACGACGACGTGGTATTTATTACCGTTTGATTCCACGCAGTTTATCCGATGCGGACGTTTATTACGCGCGTCACGCTGCGTCGCATTGCGTCGGTTATTTTTTTTTTATTATTGTTTTTTAATATTTATACATCGATTTACTGGTTTGACGCTTTAGATTTACTGATGGATTGAAAAAACCTGTATACCACGCGTAAACGAGTGCAAGTGTAACTATCGCGGTGTATACTTTTCGTCGCCCGCGCCGTGGTTGTGTTCGTAGCGCGTTAAATGATTGCGTAAGTACTATGTATTTGTATGTTCTGAGTCCATTTTTACAGGAAGATTCAAAATATTTGACCGACAGATACACGGTAATTTTTTTTTTATTCACCGTGTAAAAATATACAGTAAGTATTTTAATAATACGATTGTTGTGACGTTCGTGGATTATTATACAGTCTATTCGAATGTTAAATCTAAATGCGTAAAAATATATGTAAAATTATTTTAATCAAATAAAAAAAGGGTAAAAAATATTTAGTGTACATTTTTACACGGTAGCTAAAAAAAAATTTACCTGATGTCTGTCGATCGAATATTTTGAATCTTCCTGTAAAAATGGACTCAGAACATACAAACACATACTACGTGCGTATTACGTAATCATATTAAAGGATACGTATAAGTATATTTATTACTTACAACTAGTCGCGAAGTTTTCGCCAAAATTCCACTCGGACTTGATCCGTTCATTATTGTCTATGATAATCGTATAAGCGTATCCACGTACACGGATCGGTCGGGCGTGTGCACGTGTGCCCGAATTGCCTATGCTCAACGCCGGTAAACATGCACGTAATTGTCGAAAAATCAGAACAGGCGAACAAATTGATTTTCAAACGGAATCCATGATGACTTTTCGTTCGCGCGTCGTGTAGCCGGATAGAAAGTAACGCAAAACACCGTGATTAAACGTGCAATTGTTTTTAATAACGGCAACGTTACGATACCGCGTGGTACGAACAAAAACAAGCGGTATTTTACCGGTTGTAGTAGAAGGAAACCATTACCATAGGCCGTGTGCAGTTCAATCGTTCAACGGTTACCGCAACGCGGTGCAATGTGTGACACGCGAGCCAAACCGCACTCAAACGGGACAGGCAGACATAGTCTCCTTACGCGATAGGATTTAGTTTCGCGTACATTCAACTTAATTGATTTAAAATTCTTGTGTACTATATCCGTATTACAAATATATCATTGCGTCGCAGATCAAAATTGTTAAAAACGTACTAGGTTAAATTAATGAAATTCGAATATTGATTACGAGGTTAGATGAAATATTATGGAATGAGTTAGTATTTTTACACCGTATCTAAAAATAACGATAATTTCCGGTCTGATCAATATTTAACTTTTGATATCGATTTAATGATCATAAAATGTCCTACAAAATCTTAAATAAAAAAACAACAAGTACTCGTTTAATGTTCACTAATTTTCGGTAACTTTAGGATGTACGTTTGATCGTCGTGAGTAAATAAACTACCGGTAAGAATATCGAACAAAATAACTCCAACGGTGTCCTGTTGAGATAACCATTACGTCGAAAAGATAGTTAAACGATTAACCATCATCACACATCGAGGTGCGTATTGTATCGGAATATAATATGTAGACGCGTACGGATGGGAACGAGTCCGGTGTTATCGCGCGTACGCAGGGACGAGGGCGAAGGGCCAATGTGCGCGCGAATAAAAAAGATTCGCGGAAGACTCACCTCGCCCGGAGCGGCCCACGAACCGTAGGTCGTTGAACTTGGCCACCTGGTTCTTCATCAACGCGGTGCAGTTCCGCAGTTCCGCGCAAAAGTTCTCGTCGTTGCCCGCACGTATGGTGACCGGCGTGCCGTCCGGCACCTCGCCGAGTGCGACCACCTTGAACGCAACCGGCAGCGTCTTGTTGGACCGCCAGTGCGTGGGCAACACGGTGCACACGACGTGAGGGCACCCGGTGCGCACCAACTCACCCGGGTGCTCGGCCAGCAACGTGTCCAGCGTGCGCTCGGCCAGCACATCAGCCTTGACGAAACCGTCGCGGCTCCTGATCGACTCGGACAGGTGCATACGGACGGACGCGTGGTAACACTTGGTAGAGTAGTACTCCGGTTAGGTAAGCGACGCTCGGCGCGTGTCGTCGGGGACGGGCGGACCGACGCGACTGACTGTTTAAAAAAACGTTTTTTTCCACCTCGTCTTATTCCTTTTATTTTCGTTTTATTTTTTTTTTTCTCCTTCTTCGTCGTCCGCCACCCGTCCCGTGCGCGGCCGGTCGGAGGTTGCGGCCGCGGCGGAGCTTTGGTTTACCGCCGTTGGCCGTGAACGGGGGATGGGCCGGCGGAAGGTGTTCGCGTGGGCGGAGTTTGTGCGTCTGCTCTGCGGAAGACCGCCGGCCCGGGTCGGTGGTGGTGGTGACTGCGGCAGTGGCGACGACGGTGGCGAGGCAATAAGAAACGGAAGAAGGATAAAACGATACGAACGAGACGCGCAGTTGTGGCGGCGGTGGTGGCGACTTCGCGGCGGCAGCGAGGGGAGAAAGATGTACGTAAGAAGGAGAAGAAGAAAAGGCGGGAGAAAAGAAAACGGGGGCGCAAAGAATGTTGGAAGAAAAAGAAAACACCGTTCGGGGGTGGGCTGCGGTGGCGGCGGAGGGTCCGTGGCCCGTCGTCGTCGCGGCGTCCCGCCGACGCATGCTTAGCGGCCGCCGTAGCCTGTTGATGACGGTGCGTCCCGCCGCTGCCGCCGGAGAGAGACAGATATCAAAGAAGGGGTGGTAGCGAGAGATCGTAACGTTTCAATTACCTTCCGCTCCCCTTCCCCCACCGACAGCCCCGGCCTCTTCTACACACTTTCGTGGACAAAAGCCGATCTCCGACTCTGGATGTTTTTTCCTCTTACTTTTTTTTCTACCACCCTCTCCCCGACGTCGTTGGTTGTACGCGAACAACATAATTATAAGGTAACACGGGTGACATTTTTCGTGATTTTTTTTCCCGCTACTCTGAAAAATTGCGTGTCCTCGAGTTTTTTCCACTCGAAAATCCACACGTTATGTATAGGTACCGTTAGTAATTATACAACCCGACAGTACGACATAAGAGCGTTTTCTTAAAATTCGTATACGCCATAACGTAATAGCATTACACCGACTAAAATATATTTCATTTTAGGAGTTTACCAACCAAAGTTCAAATCATCATACATTCCCGTAGTGTCCATCCGTCAATCCATAAATTACTAGCGTCTACATAGTTGCGGTTGGTTATCTTATGTTATATGCTTACGCTATCCAATCAAAAAAAAAAAAAAAAAAGTATCAAAATATTAGAAAAAAATGTTGATTCGTACAAGACAAATGTTAAAATAATAAGTTTTCTTTGTGTACAAATTAAAATATTTTGTGTATTTCAGTATTTACATATGAACATAATGTATAAGCAAGTAACCAAATTATTTTTAAATTGTACATGGAATTATGGTTTAATGTTAGTTTTAGTGGGCTTTACTGATCTGTTATATAAGTAATCTCGTGATATTCAACCAGAAAAACAACAATAATAGTTTTTAATAGTTCAACTATTCAAGTGCGAAGAAACCTCTGTACCAGTAATAACTAATGAAAATCAATCTACATAGAATTAATACTCAAATTGTTATTAACTCGTGTTTGAACGCAATCGGTCGATAGAAAAATAAAAAGTTACATTGTTCTACAATCGTTTAAAACCTGAAATGCACGAATACACAAAAACATCAAAATAGGTGAGGCACCCTCATCAGCTAATGAAACAATGTGATAATATGATAATAGTATATCTCGACGAGTCTCAGGGGATGGACTTGGTGCATTATATGCGAGGTTTTGTAACGCTTTCGACGAAACTTCGGTGTACTTGAAAAACAATAGCCATTTACGAAAAGAAAAAACGGAATCTTAGCATTATTACAGGCAAATAAAAACTCCTAATAATTGCAATTTAAATTTCGTGACTTTTTTTTTTCATTCACTCGAAATATTAGGGATTTTTATCTCGTTTTAAACTGTTGCCGAATGAGTTCCTTTGCGATTTTCATTCACATTTAATTTACAATAAATGTGTTCTCGTGGAAAAAAAAACTATTAACCGTCATTATTCTTCAACATTATTCCGAAAATGTACTTAACGACATGAGATTAAAATACAAAACACGCTAAGGAAAAAACAGTAAACGTATTTTATCACACTCTTGGCAAAATCATTTTTTGAGCATATACATTTTGTCAAAAATTTATCGTAACGATCTTTTTCCATCATGAATATACGCTTTCAAGTACATTCGCATGTACGAGTCAATTGGAACAAAATGGGTTTTGCGAATAGAACGAGTGAGTTGCTGCCAGGAGCTGTTTTCACACAAACGAAACAAAACGTCGAGTTTTCTTTTGGAAATATTATCATGCAGTACCAATACAACGACAGGAACGTGGTTCAATTGCGTCACACGTGGAAGTTTTTCGCGGCGAGTTATTGCACTTGACCGCGTTACGCGTTGTAAAATACGCAAGGTATGATGTTCAAAGAGAGATCCATGAAAAGGATTTCCGAGTGAAAAACTCCTAGAGAACGTCCGCGATAAATGTTCTAATTGGTCTAGTCGCCTAGAGTCTAGGCCCTAGACTATACTAGCCTAGTATGGTGGACTCCGGCAACGTCTGTTCGGACGGGAAATCGTTGCGTCGGCCATCGTTTTCGGATTCGCTGTCCACAGCCGCTGTCCGTTCAACACACTGTAACGTGGTCGGGGGTGACCAGTTAGATATGTGATATTCAGTGAAGGTTTTCTGATCCTTTTGGATATATTTAACCATAGCTTGTGTTGGATACAATCAATTTGAATTTGGCGCGACGCAACCGGTACCCTCCGTGCCGCAACGTTTACCGCACCGGAACGCTGCCGACATACCGTTCAACTTTGTACCTCGGAGGAGGGTATTTTTATGTCGCGCAGCCGGGCCGTCGTCGTAAGTTTTCACCACCGCTCTTTTTATCGTGATTTATCCGTTTCCGAGTCCGGTCTACGATCCGGTGTCCTCTCGCAGTAACACCGCCATTGTTTTTTTTTCTATTGCGTGAACTTTTGTTTAGCCGGGCTAATCGCCGTACAGCGCCGTGCCGTATTCGCGATTCCTGGCTTTTTGGCTCGCTTGCCATTACAGATTGTTTTTCTTTCTGGTATCGACGCTCGCTTGTTCTATACGGCGCGAGCCAAGCCGCGTTATCATCCTCGTGCCTTTTTTTTCGACCGTCCGTTCCACGCCGCGACGACGGACGTCGGCGCGTGACGGTATTAATTGTAAATCTCGCGACCCCTAATATCACGGTTGTTTTAACGCCCGTGTCGTCCAGTTTGGATCACCTCCGTACGACCGTCGATTACCGCATGTACGCACGCGACGTCGTCGATCATTTCATCCAAATCGACGGCAGTGCCAGCGTTGCTATCTAGCTCGTAGCTGTCGGTCCAGACCCGGTGCAGCACCATCATCGGGTTATCAGGTCGTACACGAGACTGTTTTGTTATAGTTAGTGATTATTTTATTACGTCATATTTACGACGCACTACTGTTTATTATTATTTGTCAACGTCTCCGACGTACTTTGTATTACTGGATTTGATTCTCGCCGATCGGTTTGTGATCGTGCGCCGTTATACTAACCCTAATTACTAAGTTTAGTCATCTGCAGCAACGACGCAATAAATACTGGTTATATTATTATCATTTTAAGTTAGGTTGTTTTTTACGCTTTGTTAGGGTCACCTTACATTCATCATCGTCACCCAACTTATATACAGTCCATTCCTCTTCTTCTTTTGTTTAATATCAGGTTCGACAACTCGATCAAACACGACGGCTTTCTGTGTGCAGCCGAGTTCCGCACAGCTGGAGAGCATAGAGGAAAATATTTTAATGTTACAAATAAATGTAGATTGATTTAGGCGTTATTAAAGTTTAATACAATATACAACTTACCGGCTTATGGAGTCTAGAGCATCGGTTCTTAACCTTTGTGTAGTGGCGACCCAAGATGTTTACCAAATTTTTCCTGCGACCTTTTTATAAATAATATTCAATGGCAGAATAAAAAATAACTATTTGGCACTCTTAATTGAATTACATTTTTTACTCATATTACTTATATTCATAACGCGTCATAATATTAATTACATTATATTTAAAAATAAACATTTCTTTTAATAATATTGTATTGTTTTTTAAATAATTTTTAATTTAATGACTTCCTTGGTCTTGATGTTGCTTTACCAATGAATCAATTTAGAGTTCTTCTATGGAGTTAGTAAGTGAAATACGCATCGTGGGTTCGACATCAAGCTTGTTTCTTGATTTGGTTTTGATTGTAGTTAATATCTTTATTACAACATGTAAAAATATTAGTTAATGGCCTTTGCATACACAAATATAACTCATTTAATAACGAAAAAATATTTGATATATACGCAACTTTTGTCAATCAAATTATATCTTGAAAATGGATGGATAACAGTGAATTTTTTTCTCTTAAAAATACTTCTATTTCAGTTCTTAATTCAAAAAATCTCGTTAAAATTTTTCTCCATGATAACCAACGTACATGAGGTTTCATTTATTATTTATAAGGCTTAAAAATAAAAATATTATACTAACGTTTTAAATTTTTATCCGACCCATTTAAAATTATTGGCGACCCAAAATTGGGTCGCGACCCTATGGTTAAGAACCGCTGGTCTAGAGCGCAATATGGAGTTTGGCAACATCAGATGGTGGTCGTGGCCGAACTGCCTTGGTTTACACATTTTGCATAGCCGTCGGATTTACAATAGTGTGAATAAAGACCTCCTTTATTGGTCAGTTTTCTGTCCTGTATACATTTAGCTTAACCTAATCGTACATATTATTGCTTACACGCTGATTTGAACATGGTATAACAAAAATGGTGTTTTACATTTATATTTGTCCACACTAAAATGTTATGATAATCTATTGCGACATGAATATTAATACGTTCATATTAGTTTTTTTGATATTTCCTTTGACCTGAATTATGAATTTAAATTGCCTAATACTGCAAAATACGATAGCACACACACGCTCACCTACTGCGGTGCACCCCCGTGGGGATCCGTGCGCGTGCACGGGGCGCGTGTTAGGCTCTTCCGTTGGCTTTACGGGCGCACCGCTCACGCGTTTGTTTGTACGCCGTGCCCTTGTTAAGATGAACCCGACCCATAGTTGAGCGCAAATTTACAATCACGTCTACGCGCACACGTTACGGGCGCCGAACGCGTAAACGTACACATGCGTTACGCGAACATGTTTATGTGCCGGTCCAAGATTGAATTCCATAAAAACGAGACGCCGTAAAATTATGCCGAACCGTGAGCGCGTATTGCGCTCAAGTGTTTACATTCGTTTTTTTCATCGTTCCATCGCCGGTGCGGTGTAGGGCGAGAGACGACGTGCGAGCGAATCCGCGCACAAGGCCCTCGGGACGTTTTACGAGCCCGTACGTACGTTACACGCTTGTCACGGGGTCGTCGGTATTTTTTATTTATTTATTTTTTTTTTTTTCATACCGTTTCGAGGCTATCTGTTCTCCGCTCCTCGTTCCGCCGCCCGGTAACAGGTCCCCGGACGGCCGTTCTCGCGAACCGTAATGAGGCGCGGGGATTTTCGCACGCGGAATGTCAAACGTATTTGGAACGCCGCCGCGTTGGCACCGGTCGTGATCGCCGCGGAAACAGACGCGCGACCGCGTTCGACGGCTGCCACCGGTGCAGTACACGTCGTGCACGCAATCCGCGGTCGTCCGATAACGCGCGGAACGTTCCCTCGGTCATGGAAGCGGACGGGTGCGCGGTGTGCGGCGCTCCGGCCGCGCAACGGTGCGCCAACTGCTTGGCCGCGCGGTACTGCGGCCGGGCGCACCAACGGGCCCACTGGACCGAGGGCGGCCACAAATCCGCGTGCCGGCCGTACGTGGTGGCCTCGTCGCCGGAACTCGGCCGGCACTGGGTGACCGTCAGGGACGTGGCGGTAGGCGAGGTGCTGCTGGAGGAACGGCCGCTGGCCGTAGGCCCGAAGGCCGGCTCGCCGCCCGTGTGCCTGACGTGCTACGCGCCGGCCACGGGTCACGCGTGCTCGGGCTGCGGTTGGCCGGTTTGCGGTCCACGATGCGAGGCCGCGCCCGTCCATCGGCTGGCCGAGTGCTCTCTCGTCCGCGGCCACTTCGACGAGCGCCGCGCA